TGTGGTATATCGGGGGTATATAATTAAGCAAGTCCATCGTGTCTTTGTATTTTGCTGAAGAAACAGGACGAGATCCAGCGTACGACGGATCCATTTCTATTTGTGAATAACGCCTAGGTCTTCCTCTTTTCGGCGACAAATCCAAAGTTAGAAATTCATGTTTTTCATCTAAAGTTAGTTTATAAAACATTTTATAGCCATCTGCTGGCGGGCCTGGAGGTAGCCGCCACACCACTATAATATAATTTACAAAACTGCGCTATTCTTTCGCACTTATAAAAATAAGTCCAGCGATCACAACTTTTTTAAAAATACTGAAAATAATTCGAAACAATACTTCACGCACACTTATCACACGCTCCTATTTCTTTCACACCAAGCCCCGCAATTAATTTCCCGAGTACAGCGACTTACGCCACTTTCAAAACAAACACGTTTGTTATACCGTTAATCAGCAAAACTTCTCTCGAACAAATCTCAATAGTTCTCAACTCATCGATCGCAAATTTTTTTAAAATAAAAACATACCGTTCAATTGTAATCGGAGTGTCACCGTTAACTCGATCTTTTCGAAAAACCGACTTATGCCACTTTCAAAACAAACGTCTCGTACATTATATAATCGTTCGATTCGTTTGTTCCGCAGGAGCTTGGCGACCAGGAGAAGCAGCAGCGGTGACCGGGAAGTCGGCAACCGCGCCGAGGAGGAAAAGACAACAAAAAGGAGACCGGGGTGGAGGACACCGAAAAGAAAGGGACGAAACGATATCGTCTGCGGCAGAGAGCTTGGTTCGGTCGCTGCGATGAACAGAGGATCCGGATCGCGGTCGGGGCTGGTTAGGCGGCTCGCGTGACGATCGCCGGTTCTCCGACGAAATCGCTCCGTAAAGGACCCGTCCGGTCGAGCGTCGAGCCTCGGCCGGTTCGCGACGAAACGGTCGGTGTCCTCGCTTCGATTCGAGCCGAACCGGGACAGGACCAGAGATCAATCCTTAGGACGAGGACACGGGCACCAGGGAGGGAAGATAGTATGACGGTGATGCTGCTGCAACGTTCGGTCACCCCGCAGTCGACGCACAGCCAAAAGACAGCGAACAAGGACTGCAGAGCGAAACCGCCCCCCTTATTCCTATTGGACGACCGTCGAGAGTACCGATACTCCACGGATAACAACGCCGCGATCCCTATTATCGCTACGACCAATCGCAACAGCAACAACAACAGCACCACTAACAACAACAACAACAACAACAATACCATCATCGTGACCGAGGACATCGGCAACAACAACAACAACAACAACAACATTTACAACAACTTTGTGCTGGAGAGAGAAGCCAGAGAGGACAGAGAGGACAGAGGGTCGAGCTATATCCCGTTCGCCGCCGAGGACGCGGCGACGTCGGTGACGTCGGTGACGTCCCAAAGACGCGCCGACTGTGGCCAGGACGTCGCGATGCGATATTACCGGCTCTGGATCTACACCTGTAACTTGGTGCTGCTCGGTAGCGCGCTCGGCTTCGCCGTCGCGGCCACGGCAACACTTTTATTCACCGGCGACCCGCGCCGATACGTGGTCCCAGGGGTGCCGCGCGCGTTCGACCCGACCGCGCTCTACGCTTATCTCGCCCTGGCCACGCAGCTCGGCCTCGTGCAGCTGTTGGGCTGCATAGCCGCCAGAAGGCTCAACGCCAGGCTGCTCAACGCCTACTGGGTGCTGCTTTTGGCTCTCGTGTTCGGCGACGCGGTGATGGGCCTCGTCTGGGTCTTCCGGTTCGAGAGGATGCTCGCCGAGCTCAGGCCCAACCTCAGGCAACGGCTTCAGGTCGGTTTCCCCCCTCTCTGTCGTCCGATCGAAAACCGTATTCCGCGGATCGACGACGGCGAGTACCGGGTCAAAATGCCGGCCGCCGATACTTTTGCTTCGGCTTCCAACGTTTTACGGAACGGTTCCGCTCGGTTACCGATGGAATCGATGCCGATACATGTTATCGATGATATTCGATCGATTCGATACCGAAGTACTCGATAGCTGATATCGATGTATGCAGCGAAATTTTCGGTACTTGGTAGCATCGCTCCGAAAGCGTCGATATTTTGTATGATATTTTGTATAATTGGGTTCGACGGAATATTTCGCGAGGGATTAAAATGATCGAAAACATGTTCTTGCGAAAGTTTTTTGGTACAGAGGGGGAAGTTAGATGGTACGAACAATAGTCCTATAAGTGTTGCGTTAGGGGAGATATTGGAATCGAGTTAATATCTTTAACGCTAGATTTACGAAGCACAAAAAACAACTGGGGCGCGAGATCAGGGTTATATGCTGGGTGTAACATCGATTCCCAAGCAATATCCCAAGCAATATAACATTTACAGATATCATAAAAACGGGAGTGAGAGAATCGGCAATTATTGAAATCGGCAATTACTTAGTTGCCAACCCAATAGAAGTATCAGACAGGTATCGATGTTTTAGAGTGTGTATCGACGAGCTATCGATTTCCCTTTGATACCTACGTCTTCGATACGATTCAGCGTTGGATCGAAATTTGTCAATTGTTATCTATAGCTGTCGATGCGTTATCAGCCTCGACGCTACACCTCGCTTCCTTTCGGAGCGAGCAACGTTCTCGCCTCCTGCTTTCGTGCTCCGAATGCAACGGCCGCCAGCGAGAGTTCGACTTCGAGCACTCGTCGAGTCGCGGGAATCGTTCCCGCAGAAAACGTCGACGGTTATTTGCCGTTCGTATCCGCAGCTTTAGCTTCATCGTTCTTCGAGCTTCGTCGAGTTCTCCGACTGTCAGAGGCACCACCGTTGATCGATCTTCCCGCGACCGCATCGCCGTCTCCGCCGCGTCGCATAACCGACACCGCGAGACCTTGCCTCAGCCTTGCCAATGAAACCGATCGCTAAATCGAATTCCCGATGTCGCGTCACCTTTACCGCTTGGACGCAGTCGTCGACTACACGCGAGACCCGATCCTCGGGAATCGAATTCGCATCGGGCGGGCTTAGCTTTCCGTACTTCGCCGCCGCAATTTCAGTCTACGAATTGGCCGGCTGGTGATCGGCGAACGAAAAACCTGGGGATCGATGAGTCGAAGGGCCCGGAGAGGGAGCAAAACGGAGCGCGCGGAAGGGCGGCGATTCTCGACAGGGCGCCGAGGGCTGGCCCGGGTATCCCCGACGCGTTTCTCGCGTTTTTGACAGCAAAAAGGGTGTTTATAAATAAAGGCTATTCCAGGGTATTTATAACGTCTTAGCATACGTTCTTTAATTTACAGTATCAGAGGAAATAACATTATGCGGTATAATGCATCTTATGGAGGGCCACTATTGTGGCCCGTAGTACCTCAGTGGCACCATATGGAAGGCCACTATAGTGGTCCATAATACCTCAGTGGCACCAAATGGAAAGCCACTATAGTGCTCCGTAGTACCTCAGTGGCATCATATAGAAGGCCACTATAGTGGTCCGTAGTATCTCAGTGGCACCAAATGGAAGGCCACTATAGTGGTCCGTAGTACCTCAGTGGCACTAAATGGAAAGCTACTATAGTGGTCCATAGTACCTCAGTGGCACCAAATGGAAAGCCACTATAGTGCTCCGTAGTACCTCAGTGGCATCATATAGAAAGCCTCTATAGTGGTCCGTAGTAGCGAAAGGGTTAAACAGATATCGTACGGCGAGCCTGCTCGGCCCGTGGATGAATGTGGATGTCCGTCTCTTCTCGCCTCTCTCGGCACACCCGATTCTCCCGATTCTCTACGCATCAATATGTTAACTCAGCTCTTGGAATTTCTTCGGGGGTTCCGAGCGACGAAGAGATACGAAAGATTTACAGTCTCCATGGCGAAACAGCTTCGCTCGCGTAGCGCCCAGCGGAATTGTTCCGCGCGGGGTGCTCGATTTACGGCTTTGGGGGGATGCCGGATGAAACGGGTGGGCCGCGGAGCGCACTTGTTCCATTTTTAATCGATCGAAATTCGGGAAGAAACCGGTTAGCTTCTCTGTACACCGTTCTAATTAGGCCATCGACCGCGATATCCTACGTCGACGGGAGTTAACAGCTTCGTAGCGATCGGCGCGGAGCAAAGTAACCCGCGTACGCAACCAAGCGGAACGATGCGAATCGTGCAGCGCGTGCGGGGATCGATAAAAAGTGTATCGCTCGATTCGAGCCGTATTCCCCGGAGGTAGACCGAAAGATAAGCAGAATTTGTCGAGAACTACCCACCGATAACCCGGGGCGATATCAACCCTCCGACAAAATTTCCGTCGCCGTTTAACCTGACCCGGCCTGTACGTGTTCGACGTTTAAGTCCGAGTCTGCACCGAGCAAGCCTGAAGAAACGGCCGTTTCGTCCAGTGAAAATGTTGGATCGATCGCGAGAAATTAATAAATTTTCGTTACGCGGAGCAATGGTGCCGGTTAATGCGCGTTGGCCAATTGCTGTGCTCTCGATTTTTTTTCGGGCGTAATTTACCTCACGCGTATCGACTAAAATATTTTATTTGCTAACAAATAAACGAAACAAAGAAATGAAAAAAGAACTGTTAGTTGCGAATAAACGAAATAAAAGTAGACAAAAATTCAATGTATCTTAGTCGATGAATGTGAAGTTCATTGTTTTTATATCATTCATTTATTTATTCGTCTGTATATACGTGTATAAGAAAACCTTTGTTAGAGGAGAGGAAATAAAAAGAAAGGGATTTTATTTAGCGGCCGTACGAGCAGAATAAAAAGTCGTATATGTATATATATATACGATAATATAGTATTTTATTATTTTTTATTATTTTGTAATCTTTTATATTTATATTTTACTATATTTATTATATATACAATAAAATATAGTATAATATAAATATAAAATATTATAAAATAATATAATATAATAAAAAATAATATATATATATTATAAATATAATAAAATATTATATATATATAATAAATATAGTAAAAGTGTATGGTGCGAGAAAATGTGATAGACGATAGATTTTATCGGACGCACAAGCAGAGCCGTTGGGAGAAGAGATAAAAGAAAAAGAATATAACAGAGAAATGTAAAAGAATTAGGGGTGTTATGTCCGAAAATAAGGCACAACAGCAATTGGTCAGTCCGGCACAGTAACCGGCACACGATCGCCCGGTTTCTTGTCGGTCGACGATCGATCGGCTTCGGAGCGATCCCGAAAATCTTGGATCCGCGGTGTCTGCTCGAGGTGCGAATCGTACCGCGAATCGATTCGCTCGAGTCGTCTCGGTGTACGCGCGAGTATCGCGCGAGCTTAAATGCCAAGCGGTGTGTAAGACATCGGGGGAAGAAAAGTAACGCGGCGCAAAGTTGCCACAGGAAATACATAAATATCTGCACACTCGTTTATAAATAGTCGGCAGAGCTACTGTACGCCGACTACGGCACGAATATTATTCATACCGTCGCGCAAACTATAGCTCCGCGCGTCGTTCGGTCAGCCAACCAGGGCTCGGCGAGGCCGTTCAAATTATTATGAGATTGAAAATTGCGGGGATCGAGACCTATCCAAACGCTCATCCGTTCGATCGAGAAGCCGGAGGATCGTTGCCTGCGACCAGCGACGACGCTACGAATCCGTGTCGAACCGATTACGTATTACCGCGTGCGCGCGAGACTCCGCGTAAGCCGAGCATCGTTCGCGATCGCACGAAAATCCACGTTCCTCGGAGCAGAGCCCGGAAACTTCCGATCCGAACCGTGTCTCGCCCTGAATCTACTCGGATCCTCGAGCATTCGCCGACGATCATTTTCGTCGGAAAGCCGTTTTTCTATTCTGTTTCCCTGAACGCTTCTGCGATTGTCGATCGAAAATGCCAAAATCCGTACTCTCCGCCGGGAAAGAATAATCTGCGTGCAATTTATTTATTTAATTTAATTATTTAATAATTTTAATTATTTGTTTGTTCGTTTGCTGGTTCGTTGGTTCATCTAATTATTTAACACGTTGGCTGTTTGTCTTTTTTGACGAGTACACTCGTCGCGAAGAAACGGCAGCATTTTGTGTTACGTATACTCGTCAAAAACAGCTAACCGGTTAAAGTGAAATAAATAAATAAATAAATGTTAGCACGAAAATGAAGAAACGAAATGATCATTCCATCGCAACTATATTATAACAGGTACGCGTACATTTTTCAAATCGATCGCACCAGCTGACTGGTTGATTGGCGATGCCATCGGGAAAATGCTTTGTTACATAAGAGGTGGAATTTTAAAAGAATTAGCAGGCTTATAAAATAATGGTTCCACCGGTGCAGAACGCGACAGGGGAGTGTTATCCTTCAGAAAAATGTGTCTCATTATCGGATTATCATTTTAGCACAGTCAGATCGGTACTTTTATCTTCGCAGAAATGTCAGCGCGGGTGTCAGAACAAACCAGACTCGGGGCTAATAATTAGATCGCCGTACAATTTCCAAGAAGCATCTCGCAATTATCTGAAATTATTGCGAAGTAAAATAGCGAATCGTTTGAAATAATATCTCGGCTAACGTTGTTCGACGAAAGAAAAAGGATCGCAGCCATGGAAATAATGATGAAATAAGACACCGTGTTGTTTGAAACAGCATTGCAAATAACGTTGACGTTATTGACGGACACGTTTGAAATGTTGTTTCAAGCATGCCCGTGTCCGGATACAGGCAGAGAAAGAGAGAGAGAGAGAGAGAGAGAGAGAGAGAGAGAGAGAGAGAGAGAGAGAGA